TTCTGCTGAGACAAGAAATGAAAATTTAGGACACATAAATAAAAAGGATGTCTAAGAGTTCAGACAAGATGCTGGGCCATCATCTCTAGGATCCAAAAAAAAAAAAAAAGTCCCAGGGCAAATTTTAACTCTCAATATCAGACTTGAGTCCTCAGGTTCCTTGCTCTCCTGATCAGTTTCTTGTTTCAGTGAGAACTTTTCCATTTTTGTATGGGGGTTACCATGATGTGTTAATAAACTAAACTGGGGCTTTTTCTTGGTTCACTGGTTTTGAACAAGCGGCTGATGGGTTTTGCTTTGGGTTTTCCAAGGCTCATATTTTAAGCAGCTGAAATCACGGTCACTGGGCGTCTTTCATAGCTCACTGCTCCCAGAGCCAAGAGACTGTTTGGGATTTGTAGTTTATGGTAACAATACAGCATTGCCATTGGGGAGATGTTTTGGCAAAATAACACAGAGCTGCGATACAGCCCTTAAGAGCCATTGTTTGGGCTCTGTGAAAATTAATTTTCAAAAATATCCAGGTCTGTTGTGTGTTCTGGTTTATATGTAAATTAGAAGATTGTGGGAAAAGGATACCAGGAATGATGCCATTCAGACAACTTCAGACCAGTCATCCATTCATTGGTTAGAGTGACTCTCACTCAGTTTTGCTTTACTTACATTTGAGGATTTTTTTCTTAATGATACATTGAACCAGTCGAGCTAGAAGAAGATACAGCATTAGCCAATATGCCACTATAACTGATGCTTTTAAAAAAATGACACAGAGCTTAAAAACTTGATTGATGGGGACAGTCATGGAAACTAAGAGAAAAGTAATTCAATCGTGATTCTCTCAATTTGGAAGTAGAAGCTGTGTCGTATCATCCCGCGGTGCCACCTCTGCTCCCAGGGGTGGCACGGGGTGTGTAGCAACTTGAAGGATCAATAGCATGGCGGGTAGTTAAGTGTCAGAATCAGGCGATAATGTTCTGCCCAAATCCGGAGGGAGAGTTTCTCACTCTAAATCCTGAAGCCTTGGTTCACACGTCCAGCCTCGCTGTGCAGGTGGAATCTGCTGGCTCACTCCCATGCGGCAGGAAGTGTGGCATCTCCACGTCCTCCTGTTTCCAGAGGCTTCCTCCTAATGCATTTCCTTAGAACCTAGATGACACCACATTTGCAGACATCTGAGTCTGGTCCTTTGGGCACCTAAGTTCCCTAGACTAGTTTTGACACCTTCGCTATCGTCCCCCAACACTTAACATGGATTCTAAAGGCATGGACTTCTTTCATCTGGACCAGAACCTTCTCCAGCCCAGCTGGCCCCAGGACACCAATCCCTAGAGGTGCTCTTCATGAGCGGTCGTCCCCATTAGATCTCCTTGACATCCCTGCAGAGGAGACCCAAGCAAATCCCCTCTTGCCTAGATTGAAAACTTTGTATCTAACGCAGCCACCATTGTATGGCTTTTTAAAAATCTTCATTTTGTTTGTGATGGTTGACGTCCAAAGCATGTTGGTTTGAGTCTCTGCACTTGACATTTAATTTAACCAATAAACAATTACCGATGTTACTTTTGATTTGCCAAAAGAGAAACCGGGAGCAGAGTCTTACAATGGCCAAGGCCATACTTAACTCAGATACTCCTTGGCTCCCATAATCTGCCCTTGTGTGGAGCCTGCTGGGAAGGAGGGACTTGACCCTCTGCCGGTAAGGCTTTCATTTCATGTGTGTGTTCAGGCCAGATGGTCTGTAAGGCGCCTTCTATTTCTGAAAGATGAGGAATTCATCAGGTCATGATCCCAGGGTCCTGGGATTGAGCCCCTTATCAGGCTCCCTGCTTGCCCACTCCCCCTGCTTGTGTTCCCTCTCTCGCTGTCTCTCCTGCTGTCAAATAAGTAAATAAAATCTTAAAAAAAAACAAAAAAGAAAGAAAGAAAGAAAGAAAGAAAATAAATAAATGAGCAGTCCAGTAGTGAGCAAACTTAGATACCCCTTCAGGAGTGGAGCTAATGAACAGGGGCGAGTGGCTCTCAGCTGTTCCTCCGTTGTCTGAGCAGGTGGTTGGAACCAGACTCAGAGGCCTCAGTAGTGAAGTGGGAATATAAAACCCTGAAACTATTTGTCATAAAGAATGGCATGCCCAATGAAAGCCCAGGCAGATGTTCCCATAAAGTGTTTGTTGTTTGTGTTTTTGTGGGGGTGCTTTCGGGGTGTGAAGTTTATTAGTAAGGCTCAGAGCATCTCCCTCCCCATGTTGCCATATATTAGCAGTCTTGCAACCCATTTATGGGGTTGGAATTATTTGGGGTAATGATTTTCATGGGAATAGATGAAATGCAATCTGCACTTAGCTCTCACTACCTTTATTATGCAGCTGCCTTCCGGGGGAAGATCCCCAGACGTCATAGATGGGCCCACTGTCAAAGAGGTGAGGGTCTCAAGGAGTATTAAAGCTCAAAGGGGGCTGTATTAGTTTCCTGTTGTGGCTATAACAAGTAACTGCAACTTAGTGGCTTAACATGACACAAATTTATTTATCTTATAGTTCTGGGGGTGAGAAGCCCTAAATGAACCTTGGGGGGGCTAAAAATCAGGGTCAGCATGCCAGTGTTCTTTCTGGAGGCTCAAGGGGAGAGAATCCATTGCTTCGCCCATCCCAGCTTCTAGAGGTCACCTTGGTTTATATCCCCTTCCTCCATCTCCAACGCCAGTATCTTCTGCCCTCTCTTTCCACCCAAGATCTTCTCTCTATGTCTCTGACGCTCCTACACCTCTCTCTTAAAAAAGACCCTTGGGATTACATTGGGCCCACCCAGACAATCAAGGATAATCAACTCATCTCAGTACCCTTAATTATTTCCACACAGTGTCATTTATTATGGAAGTTTAACATCTTAGGATGTGAACAACTTTGAAGGAGGACCATTATCCAGCCTGCCATTAAGGCTATAGAGACCAATGAAAGCCCAAAAGATAAATGATATATCTAAAGCCACCCAGCTTCTCTGGGGCAGTGCCATGGCCTTATCCCAGCCATCCTCCTATCTGCCACGTTTCTGTGCATCACTGACAAAGATGGGTAGGAGAGGGCCTGACGGGGGGCCTTTATTTGCATAACAAACTGGAAATGATTGAGGAGTAAGTATAGGATTGTCAGTGATTTAAAAATAGCAGTATAGAGGAGACAGAAGTTTATATTTTTAAAAATGCATGTTTAATTCAAGAGCTTCTTTAAATATTATCATTTGGCTAGGGCGTGCTACCTTCTAAAGATGTTCAGTGACTTGTAGGGATAACATGATTTAAATACTGATGGGAAATGAAAGTGCTAAGGAACACAGGTACAGGTTCTTCTCTTCTTCCTACTCCCACCCCCTCTGCTTCTCTCTCTCCATTTATTAGTCTACCCATGGCTGTCATTTGAAAGTCAGTTGGAGTTGGAAAACCAACTTAAAGTCTTTAAACTAAAAGGAATGGAAGAACCAACCAATGGGCTTATTGCCATGGGTTAAGGCAAATTAAGTATTCGCCATATTTTACAAGGAAGCCCCCCTTTGGTGTTGAAACATTCTTCTAAGAATCTGAGAAACTTGCTTTTGGTTTTCCTCCCCCTTCTGCCCAACAATGGCCTGTAACAAATAAAAGGTTGGTAGAATTTTGGATTTCAGTGGTACTAGACATACTATCCAGCCTGATCCTTCTCCTGAAATGTGGGTCTTTTATAGATTATGTTTGGTAGGGATTTGCACTACTCCTCTCTTGCCTCAATTTTCTCCATCCGTGACATGAGAAAGAGTGTTGGCTGCTTAAAATAAAGGGTGAATTAAATTTGAGTTCCTGAGAGTACAAGTGCATTTGAGAGGGTTGTGATCTGTTAGTTTCATCTACTCTAGAAATCACTCCCTAACTCCACTACCCACTGTGTCAGGGTGCGGTGCCCCTCACCTAGCGATTCATAACCCACTCACCTCATTCTGCAACACTCCACCCTGCTCCCTGCAAAGTGGTAATCATTCTTACACATATCTGCCTTACTCTAAATTTACCTAAGCCAGGGCTGGACATGCAACAGGAGCTCATTGTACTGTCCATGGACACTGTGGATGGATGAGTGAGTGAATAACCATATAGGCTCATAGCCACATAGTGGACACATGGATCCAGAGCCTCAGTAGAAATACTGAGCACGGAGGAAGGTGGGTGGCAGGAAAAGACTGAAGATACAGTCTGTGATCTTCACTGATGTAAAATTAATAATTGGTTCCCCTTGCTCTGCTAACTTTCTTAAGCAGAAGGAAACTGGAAATTGCCATAGAAATTTATTTTCACAGATGTTTTAATGTGGCATTGGAAGATGAGTAGACCATTCCCCTTTGGGTATTTGCACCCAACACTCCATGTCGTTTTTTCTGCCTGTCAAATCAACGTGTTCTTGAGCTACTGGTACATTAGGTTAGTGACACAGTGCTGGATTAAACAAAGACAAGATCATTTTGCCAAGCTCCTATCTGGCCTTGATTGGGGGTCATAAAACTCATACATTCCCTCAGTTTGGTTTTGACAACTCACGGAATAACACCTTGTGTATGTCACATGCTACTTTCCTTTAAAAGCTTTCAAAACCTTCTATATTGAACAAGGGTGATTCCCGTATCATTCCTACCACATGGGAAAGCAAAGCATCAGCTCAGGAATTACTAAATACTCAGTGTACTTCAAAAGATCATGTGGGTGGACTACGCCATCTTTCCACAAAGGCGTTAATGCTAGCTGTACTCATCAAAGTCTGAAACAAGATGAGTGGGTCTGAAACAAGAAAATCTGAAGGTAAAATTTAGTAATTGACCAAGATCCAGGCCGGGAAAATACCCTAGTGACACCCAAGGGTCTCTATGGGTGGGAAACGCCAGGTGGCCCTTTCTGATGTCACCATTTTGGTGCCATGGCTCTTCTTGCATTGTTTCTTAAAACTTCCACCCAGACTAATTCTACAATTTCTTTTTGTTTCTAGTTCCTTCTTTCTGGGGATTGGTGAACTCAGCTTGGAATCTTTGCTCTGTGGGGAAACGGCAGTCGCCGGTCAACATAGAGACCAGTCACATGATCTTCGACCCCTTTCTGACGCCCCTGCGCATCAACACTGGGGGCAGGAAGGTAAGCAGCCATGGTGCTTCCATTGTGAAGTCGAGGATGTCTGGAGATGCTGATTCTGAAAGCCAGTCCTCTGGGTCTCCAGCTCTCTGATGAGTTTGCCTTTCCATCTAGGAGTAAAATCACAGACCTCAGGCCTGCTGCCAACCAGTGTAATTATGTCTGAATTGTGCTTTCTCTTTCCTAGCTAGTCAAACCCTCATGCTTCTAATTACTTTGTACCCCCTAGAGGTTGCCTAAGGCCCTATCCCTTGGTACCTCATGAAGGTCAGAAAGCAGTGTTGCTTCCCAAGCATATCACGCTGGGAAAATCCCTCCTCTTTACTGGGGCTTCTTTTAACCTCAACAAAGTGGGGGGAAAATTGTTTTAACAAAAGTAAAATCAGAAATTTGTCATCTTGGAAGGAAAAACAAATAAAAATTACCTTAGGTGATTTATAAGAAAATCAATAATTAATCTTTCTAGAGGCATCTTGGATGGCTAAGAATCCTAGCTCTTGCCCAGAAATGCTGAGCTATACCTTGTGATTCTCACACCAATGTCCCTCCTTCCCCCACCTCCCATCCCCCCACCCCCACTGCCGTGAGATGCTCCTCCTTAATTTTCGGAAGGTCATAATGCCTGTGGGGTTTCTTGTTGCTGGGCTCTAGCATTTCTCTTGTGGGCTAATTTCTTTCTGGCTACCTTTTACTGTTGAGTAGTTCATTGAAGGTGGGAAATACACACACACAGCAAATTGTGTTTGAAGGTGATTTAGTTATTGTGAACTCAAGAGGAATGGAAAATCATTTGTGTCCAAGAAATTGGGATTAAAATTATGGACAGTCTTTGTTACTGCTGGCAGCCGATTCTCCAGGGTTTGCGTTCCTGAGGCTCTGCCCTCTACTTATTCAGTCCGTTTGCCTTACTTACCATGGAGTTTGTAAGAAAGTTTTTCTCCTTCTGATATATTGGAATGTATTCTTTCCTATTACATAACTGTCCCCAGAAAACCAAACAAAAAAAATAAACCCAAATTCTAATGACGGTTCTCAGAAATGTTAGTAACTTTGACTCAGGTCATAAAGCGGGTTTTAAAAGGCTTTGCACATGATTGAGACTATCTCTCTATGTGGTTTTTGTGTGCTGTTTTGAATATGACTTGAGAAGTATTTTTCTAGAAGAGTCCTATGTAGGTCATGTAGTTTATCGCTCTGATTCCATGGAAATTAACCTACCCAAATTACCGTTCCATTTGAAGTTTTATTTTTATAAACTCTAAAGGGAACTTGCCGTGGGTTCTACACATACCTCTCTCCTTCAAGTCATGACCATGGACAGGCTCAGTGACCAGTATTCAGAAAAGGCAAGTTGCAGTTTTGACTTTTTGATCACTCTTTCCTTCTTGGAAAGGGCAATGAAGGGAATAATTGTACTCTGGACAAAGGGTGAAGCAGTAAAAAAGCAGAATGAGGGTTGGTACCTGAGTTCCAGAAATCAGCTAAAAGGTGACCAGCAATGGGCGCCTGGGTGGCTCAGTAGGTTAAAGCTTCTGCCTTTGGCTTGGGTCATGATCTCGGGGTCCTGGAATCGAGCCCCGCATCCAGCTCTCTGCTCAGCGGGGAGCCTGCTTCCCCCTCTCTCTCTGTCTGCCTCTCTGCCCACTTGTGATCTGTCAAATAAATAAATAAAATCTTTAAAAAAAATAAAAATAAAAGATGACCAGCAAGACTGAAGCACAGAGATTAAAGAGGAGGAGACGGGAGGTAAGGATGGAAAAGGAAGATGGGGCCAAATCTAGAGGCTGTGTGAAGGAACTGGATCTTTTTCCCGAGTTATAGCAAGTGATTGAAGCATTTTTAGGTCAAGAATATGTTGGACACGGGATGGGAAAGGTGACAGGCTGACGCAAATAATGGACACATAAATTTCACTTTTCTATCAGCCCATCTTAGAGGAAAATATTGATGTGAAAAAAAAAATAACTAATTCAAGACAGCTTCTCCTAAAATTTATTACGAAAGATGAGATGGGACAATTGCATGGTGTTAAAAAGCACTCATAAGTTTTGGCTTGGTTTTTCTTTTTGTTGTTGACAGAGATTTTTTTTTAATATATATTTTCAATTCAGTAAAGTGTACCTGATCCAAATCAATTTTCAAATGCACTGGAGTTTGGAATTTTGGAAACATTTACTCTCAACGATGGAAATATTTATATCTGGCATGATTTGTGTTGTTAGCTATTTGAAGAGCTGAGAACTGTCTGGTGGTTTCCTTTACATTAGTGAAAGGTGGAAAATAAAATATAGATGGTAGGAGGATAAACTAACTGGTAATGAAATGTCTAAACGTGATAGACAGTAGCTAAACCACATTTGCCAGCTTTTTAAAGGTGCCGTTTAATGAGTTGGAGACTTACTTTGAAAGTGAGTATTCAAATCACTGCTGTGAATTTAGTTTTGCCTTGAAGAGATAGGTATCAAAAGGTGTAAAGACCACCCTGTAGGACTGGGAGGTTTTGTAGAACGTGGGCAAGGTGCCACAATGTAAAGTCTGAGGTCTGCTGGGTATCAGCATGTAAAATGCGCCCCAGTCATTATGTGTTTTATGTCACATTCTTATCCCTGAGCATGACTCCTGCTCATGTTTCAGTGTACCTTATGCCCAAGCCCGTGAATGGCCCCGCTGCAGCTTCTGACTTGTGTTACTGTGTTCGTTTTAGTGTGTCTGACCCAGCATGGGGATCAAATCATGAATTAAGGGCTTATCTTAGCATGGGCAAGGGCTGAAATTCAACCTGAATAATAATATATGACAATCAAAACTTATTGTGTCTTGGATATAACGGAGTATATTCATTGTACTTGAATAATGGTATTTCTTTTACTTTATAGGTTGCTTCTTTTCAGTGGTAATTCTTAAGTAATGTTTGGGTTTGTTTTTGTTTTTGTTTTCTTGAACAAGAGTGGTTTTTTTGTTTTGTTTTGTTTTGTTTTGTTTTTTACCCTGTTCATATCTGACACATAGGACTCCTATGGGCAAAATTTAAAGTAACTGTGCTTTTTAAACAATATTCACTGAGCATTGAGTTGTGTATGGTCACAAGAATCTTTCCTTGGACTCAGTCTCCCACCCTTGACCCCATTCAACTTGACTCCTAATAGTCTAAACAGTTGTTTTTTTTGTTTTTTTTTCTTAATCTTGGAGTTAATTAATTTAGAGAAAGCTACTGAGCGAACCCAGGAATTAGAGTAGGCAGGTGGAGATAATTCTTCCTTCACAGTCTCAGATCATTTAAAATCCCTGTATGTGGGAAATTAGATTTTGATTTATCTAGTATTTTAAGCTCAGTTCAAGCCTGATGGACTGTTTTAAAGGTGGAGACCCTTGGTAGTCAATGGACTTGTACAGATTCGAATATTTTTTTACCTTCCTTGTCTTTTTCCTCACATCAAAGTGAGTGTACCTTATGTGTTTGTGTCTTAACTTTTGTGTGCTGTTCACCCAAGTAAGCTTCCTGGTAATGTGAAAACAATGTAGAGTGTGAATGTTACTGAATAGCAAACTATGAATGGCCTGGCTTAATCATTTTGGGGTATAATAGTTCCTCCAGATATTTGCCTGGAGCATTCTCTGAGACAGGTGAGGCGGGTACTGGAGGCTTTCTGGATTAAGAGGTGAGGTTAGCATTCATGGAAGAGGTGTAGTTTTTAGATAACCTCTCTACTGATCTGAAATATCTAAAAGAAGAAAAAGTATATTAAAATGGAGTTGGAAATCACTTGCTGATCCTGCCATTGTAACCAAAAATCAGTTCTGGCATCCTTCTTCATCTTTCTGCTCTTTTAATAAAATGGACATCTCAGGAGTTAGTGACATGAGCATTGCTTATGATACATTAAATGTAAAAGGTAGCATCTAACATCATTCACTTAATGATCCCAATTTGTTTAAAAAGTATCCATGCTATGCATAGAAAAGAGACCAGTGTTAAGAGTAATATTGTTTCTTTCTACTTTCTTAAAGCTTCTAGATTTTCTATAACAAGTCTGCATTAATTTAATAATCTGAAAAACATGTATAGATTTTAAATTCATCCCTTTGTTTTAGGCAAAAATATACTTAGAGTTGGCAAATGCGGTAGATGGACTAATGCCCTCTCCTAAAGATTATATATATATATTATATATATATATAATATAGATTATATATATATTATATCTCCTAATCCCCAGAACTTACGAATATGTTATCTTATGTGGGCAAAAGCTATCTGAAAGATGCAATTAAGTTAAACATCTTAAAATGGATAGATCATCCTCTATTATCCCGATAGACCCATTGTAATCACACAGTTCTTACAAGGAACAAACCGAGGAAGATTCCAAGGCAGAAAAAGAGATGTGACAGAGGAAGCAGAGGTCAGAGAGATGTGCTGCCATGAGCCAAAAGAATGTGGGCAGCTTTGAGAAGCTGGAAAAGGGTAAAGAAATAGATTCTTCCCTGGAGTCTCCAGAAGGAAGACAGCCCTGCTAAAACCTGGATTCGAGCCCAGCAAAACTGATTTTTGACCTCTGACTTCCAGAATGTAAGATGACCGTTTCAAGGAGATTGGTTGCCATCTCATGCAAGCCCAGGGACAGAGCAGAGGACAGAAGACCCCAGCTGCACTCCTCCCCACCTGCCCTTTGCCAGACTCCCTCTGGGGAGAAGTCAGAGACCAAGACAAGACTGTTGATTCAGTCTACATAAGCCAGCCTCCAGGCCACAGGATGAGGTGAAGGTAGATTTGAAGGGGCGGTTAGAAGACATCCAACAGAAGGCTATACCCTTTATCTACGTGACCATTGGCACGTTTCCCATTAAATGAGTATGAGGTAATAAAACTCATCATTGCCTATAAAATTAGGTATAAATGTCTCAACCTGGCATTCATAGTCCTTGCAATATGGCCCCAAACCTCCCTTCCAGAGCCTTATTCTTCTTACATCTTATGCCTACCTTTGTTCCCAGTTTGAGAC